GTTGAGTAATCAGTAGAAGCTGGAAAGTGAACTCGGTCATCAAAATAAGGATCTTCATAGCTATGAGGAGACTGCAAATACAATCTGTATGCATCAAAGTTCTTTCTGTTGGAGTCATCTTGACTATAATAGAGCTGTTGATGCTGTAGCCATCTATTTTGTTCTCTTGCTGGTGAGGAATAGGAACTGATGTAAATTGGTGAAGGTTTGCTGGAGCCAGGGTACAGGCCTTTGTGTGTGGCATCCCCTTGGCTATTGTAATACTGCATAGGTGGCTGAGTCCTGTCGTATTCAGAGCGAGGCTCTCTGATTCCTAACAGTGCTGGTGAGGAAGAGGTGCTGCCAACTGACTGAATGATGGGTGACATCTGTTGGTTGGTAGTGGACAAGGAAAGATGTGATTTGAATTGGTCTCGCTCTAACGTTGACACAGGTGTAATAAAATGGTTCTGATTCCACCCATCCTTTTTATAAATGCTCCGGAGGTCCTGATATTGCCATAATGTATTCAAGACCTGGCCTGCTGCCTTCACCACTTTCAGAGAGGATCTGTCACCTCTGCCTTTGGTTATGTTCACCAGCTTCTCTATGCCTCCCGAGTCAGAGCCAAGGCTTTTGCGTTCTCCATGTTTTTGCTCGTCACCTCGTGCAGAGCACAGCAGATGGCCGCCATCGTCTCGTCGGACAGTATGCTGGGGCCGCTGCCACCAGGGAGCCAGTTGACCAGGTCTCGCATGGCGTATTTACCTATGAGCTCCTTGTTGCGGACATCTAGAGCCATATTCCTCAAGACAGTTGCCACAGAAGAGACAACTGTATCGTTATCCATCCTCAGAAGTTCAACAAGGATGGGGAGCCCTTTTTCTTTTCGGACAGCTGCCTGGATGTACGCTGCAAACTTCCAATTTCCGGCAGAGAGGTTCTGGAGAGATCCGGCAGAGCCTTCCAAGGGGCCTGGGTTAGAGCTTTCAGCTAGAAGAGTCAGATATGGTTTTACCACCGATGGATGCCACAACATCTCAACCCCTTTGGGGGACTTTGACAGTCCTGGGATAGGACCAACTCCATCCCATTGATCCTCTTGTGGAGTTCTCTTTTTCTTTTTCTTCTTTTTCCCCCAGCAGCTTGGCTCAGAGTCTTTGCTGGGAGACTCTTTCCCTAGTAAGTCAAGGGATCTGATTTTTAAAAATTCTTTATATATTCTAGATGTTAGTCTTTTGTCTGAGGAGTAGCTAGTAAAACTTTTTTCCCATTCAATAGAATGTCTCTTTACTCTGTTGGTGGTTTCTTTCACTGTGCAAAAGCTTTTTAATTTGATGTGATCCCAGTTGTTGATTGTTTATAATATTTCCCATGCAATCAGGGTTTTGTTCATGAAGTCTTTGCATACACTTATGTGTTCCAGAGATTTACCAATCTATGTTCCAGCAAAGTAAGTGTCTGTTATTATATTTAGATCTTTGATCCATTTAGATTTTAGTTTAGTGCATGGTGAGAGGTACAGGTCTAGGTTTAATCTTCCACATGTGGAAAGCCAGTTTCTCCAGCAACACTTATTAAAGAGGCTATCTTTCTTCCAGTGAAGGTGTTTGTCCCCTTTGTCAAAGATAAGGTCAATGAGTGTGCTTGGAGTTGTTTCTGCATCTTCTATTCTGTTCCATTGGTCCTCTGGTCTGTTTTTGGCTAGTACCATGCTGTTTTTATCATAGTAGCTTTGTAATATAACTTCAAATTGGGGATTATGATGCCCCCTGCCTTATCCTTGCTGCTCAAAATTGCTTTTGCTAGTCTAGGTCTTTTCTGGTTACATACAAAGTTTGGGATTGTTTTTTCTATTTCTGTGAGGTATACTGTTTGTATTTTGATTGGGAGTGCATTAAATCTGTTTAACAGTTTTGGAAATATGGCCATTTCCACTATATTGGTTCTGCCTATCCAAGAACAGGGGATATCTTTCCATTTTCTGATATCCTCTTCAATCTCCTTTTTCAGAGTACTGTCCTTTTCAGTGTATAGATCTTTCACTTATTTTGTTAGATTGGCTTCGGTAGCCTCGAGAAACTCTTTAACAAGAGATGATAAAGCTTCTGGGTTAATACTACAGAGTTGTACACAAATATAGAGAGTTTCCATATCTAGGCCAGTATTCAAACTCAAGCAGAGCATCGGTAGTCTCTCTCCCTGCACTGAAGTTCACCACCTGGCTGCCCCTGTCACTGCTCACCATGACCAAGCCCAACGGAGACAAGAGAAGGGCCCATTTCCTGATTCCAGTGAGCACCTTAATCAAACTGGAGAGGTCATAAATATTGTTGATATTTCATCTAAATACCAACTGCACTTAGCTCATCTATCCGTAAATTATGTTGTGTTCTATTCCGTCTATAAACTTCTTAACAAAGAAAAGGAAAAGATCTACCTGTTCGATGTCCAGCACACACGAGCGCGTGCGCATACACACATATAGCAGTATTAAAAGGGAGTGTGATTTGCTTAAAGGTGATATTGAGACTTGTTATGAAAGTTTTTGGTTACTTTTCAGTTTCCTGAAAAAGTAGAGAACTACTTGAGGAGATTTTTGGCTTTATAGAAGTGGAAGGAGATAATCTCTTTAGACCTGTAGGTATGATGCTGCCAACCATACAAAAGATGCTAAAATACTGGCCTACCATAAAATCATATTTTCAAAATGTAGGCCCAAAGAATGTCCTCTAATTTGGGAGTATATTAACAATGAGGATATTTGGAAGGATTATAGTACAACAGAAATTTATATGCTGCTTTTGCAACACTGGTTCTCTTTGAAAAGGCCAGAAGAAGCCTAGAAAAGGATGGACTGAGAGCTCCTGAATTACCTGGTATTATGGATAGATAGTTTGAGACAGAAGCTCGTGCAACAGATAAAATGATTCATTTTTTGGATTCAAGACTGCTTTGGAACTTTAAAAAATGTCATCAGAAAAGTGCAGCCAAGTCAGCAGGACTTTCTCAATTTTCTAACTAAAATTGTAATTTACTTGGACTCCAACTTTGATTTCATCAGTTAAATTATTACCTCTGTGCTTTTTTTTTTTTGAGACAGGGTCTCACTTTGTAGTTCAGGCTGGCCATGAACTCACTGTGTAGCTCAGGCTGGCCTCAACTGCAGGCAATCCTCCTGCCTCTGCCTCCCGAGTGCTGGGATTACAGGCATGAGCCACCACACCCAGCACCTCCGTGCTTTAAAACCATTCTCCCTGAGATATTTGATTAGTAATTACATCCATGAGATGGACATTTTAGACATGGATCGCCTCTATGATGAGTTTATACAAAGTGGACCTTATTTATAGTTGTTCTGTCAAAGCAAGCCTGTGGATACAATGTGGGTGGACACCTTCAGAGAAATGAAATTCATTCCTACAAGCCTACAAACTTGCCGTTGCTAGTAAGTAAATTCCTAAGAAACACTTTTGTTGAGAGGATTTTTAGCTTAATGTCATCCCATTGGACTGATAGTAAGAACCAGTGTAACATGGGTTGTAAGAGCAGAGCTGCAGGTCAGAGTGGATTTAACATTTAGCTATGTAGAGTTTTACCAGTATATAAAAGAAAAGAAAGTTGTCCTAAGGCCTGCAGTTTAGATAAGTATTATTTGAAAAGGAAACAGAAAAAGTAGAAACATTCTTCTGTAAAGACAGAAGGAACCATGTCATTGTTATTTTTTATTAAATATAAATATTTGCTTAATCCTACTATATCCATGTCTTCCTTTTAGATCTTATTTTGATGTATTTGTATCATAATATCCATAGCATGTTAGTATAGCATCAAATTTAGTGAGAAACTCTGTATACATAACACATATGCTTGGTTGCTTGCTCAAAATTTCCTTTACTGATTAACAGAGGCTAAATGATAATTATCACATGGGATCTGAAAGAAGAGAAGAATCAAAGATCTGAAGTGGGCTTTAAAAATAAATAAGTCCCTGTGATTTTGGTTTTCACCTCTTAAAATGAGGGCAATCCTGGAAGAGCTGAGAGAAACTGAGTTTCTGAACATTTGACAGTGAGGACAAGGCTCAGGACCCCATAGCATTGGCCAAGCTGTGGCGACACTGTGGAAGACCCTGTGTGGGGAGCCAGCCTGTCAGTTGGGATGTTGACCTTGCTCTACCTTTTTCCAGTTCTACCTGTATATGAGCTAAGAAAACTTACATTACCATAGATTGGGAATTTTGATCTACAAATCCCAAGGGGCCTGAGGACAGAAATCAGGATATCCAGACACTTCAATGGAAAACAGAAATTTCTATTTTCACTAACCTCCAACTGAAATATAACATTTTTTCTAGGCAACAAACCACAGAAGTGTTAGTCCCTGTATCTGTCATCACTGGGAATCACAGATGTTTGCATGTTATAGTTACCTTGAAATATTTATGTGGAGCTGAAAATGTGATAATAATTAGAACTACCCCTAGATCTTACAGTATGTTCATAACCACAGATTTAAATGTTAGTAATTTGGTAATATCTTTCAATAAAATTGGCTTCCTTTGCAGCCTCATATTGTGCATTTCTCCAGCATGACAAAGGAGTTGATGTCACACTGGAATTTAAGAATCTGCTGTGGATCATGAATAGAAAGCTTTATACATAGCCCTCCCTTTAGGCTGCAGCCTTAGCAATTGCTGGAGGAGGTAGCAGCTAATGGCCTATGAGTGGAGAGAATGTGGTCCCTTTGCTAAGATCAATCCTGCTTCCACATATCTGAGAGTATGGAATTCCCACAGTATACAAAGTTTTTCTTTCAAGTTAGGTGAGATGCCTTGAAGAGTATCTTGAGGCTGCCTGCAGCTCCTAGTACTTTAGTGGCAGCATGGAAGGGATCTCAGAGCATCTAGTCTGAGCTGCATTTTCAATCTGAGTACCGAGGTGCAGGGGGAATTATTTACCTAGGTCATGTCATTGGCATAAAGAGGCATTTCGAGAAGGTTTTCATCTTATCTTCATTAGGGAAACTGCTCTGGGAGTCTGCACAGACAGGATGAGGAGGCTGGGGAAAAGAGTGCATAGGAAAGGATGGAAAGAGGACTGGGGAAACTGAGGCAAACTTCAGGATACCTCTTCCTCCACATTCCAGCGTCTTACCATCAACTCTCCTGGGAATCTTCAGGGATTTTATAACTCCCCAGAACCAGGCTGGACTTTTCGTGAGTTAAATACAGTCATGTTGCTTCCCTAAAATACTTTATGTGCAAGGGATAGACCCAGCAAACAATTTTCATAAGATTTAATGTGTGTCTTAGGGTTCTTTCTTTACTTTTTGTATTCTGAGGAATTCTTATATTCTCAGCCCCATAAAATCCCAGAGCTGCTTGGCTCCTAGAAGACAGCGTTCAAATTTCTGAAGGACTGTTGTATAAAAGGGTTAGAATTACATACCATAAAAGGCAAAACGAGATGAGAATTTAAGGTTCCTTCTTGGGGACAGATTATCCTGTGCTAGACAAGATTTAAAGTGCTTTCCAAATCTCAGATTGCATACCATTCCTCCTAGATATCAAACTCCAGCAGTCCCTGGCTTGATGTATAAAAACCACAACTTTTATTTCCCAACCACAGCTACATGACCCTATCATGTCAGGAAGGGCATTGGGGCTTCAAAACCAGACAAACTTGGGTTCTGACTTTGGATATCTTAGTCATATCACTTCCCTGATCTTTGGTTCCCTCTACTGAAAATGGGAACAATCTGCTAGACAGTATGTAAAATGCTTTGGTTATGTAGAGCTCCCATGAGTCTCTGGAGTGACGAATGAACTTCACTGTTTAAAAATCTCATTGTTAAAAAAAAAAATCTCCTCACAGGCTGCAGCTCAAAGGTAGAGCACTTGCACAGCGTGCAGGAGAGCCCAGGTAAGATCCCCAGCACGGGGGAGGGTTAAGGAACAAAAACAACCCTACAAAATACCTCTTCTTCTCGTCTTCTGGAATCCTTGCTACACCCAGCCAGTCCCGCAGCGGGCAGCAGAGGTCTTCCCTGGGCTCCGGGGCGGGGCGAGAGCGGGCGGGGCGTGGCGCAAGCGCATAGCGGAGAAGCGGGGCCTGGTCTGCGTGGGCGGGGCGCGGAGCTAGACCGCGTGGGCCGGATCGGACGTCAGGTACCGCGCATTCCGCTGGTAGGCCCCTACCTCTTGTCTTTACAGCTGCGGGGAGGGCTCGGGGCTGCGCTGAGCTGTGCGTTCCCACAGTTGGATTTTCCTGCAAAGGCACAGAAATGAAAGGGCGTTTGCTGAACATCCCCACCCGGACAAACTACAAGGACAACCCCCCATCCCCCCATCGCTCTTTCCCTCTGGGAATTCTCTGAATTCTGTCTTCTCTTGGCCCTAAATCAA